TCACTTTTTCACAGCTCAAAACAAAACAAAACAAAAAAACGCACCTTGTTAAAGAATAGACTATTTGAATATGTATTGTTCTAACTACTTAATAGTTATTAAAGGTATAAAAGATAAATCATTTCACCAGTTATTTTGGTCTAAATCTTTACATTGCATAGTAGCTATTTTTACAATGAATAAAGGGGGAAAATAGCTATTACACAAAGGGTTTTTTCCTGGTTTCAATTAGAAAAGCTGTTACAGGTGGATATTAAAGCAGGAGTAAAAAAAATCCAGTCTAAGTCTGCTTGTGCCTTTCATGCGGCAGGGCCTCCCGAGCACCCAGAGTAGCCAGGCGAGTGAACCAAAAAAAACTTGCTTTCCTGGAGCTTACATCCCAGTAGAGAGTCAGGTAAGAAAGAAATGAATAAGAACATAGGTGGTACCTCAATGGTTGATGCGTACTGGGGAGAAACTGGTTAGTAAGTGTGGGAAATGCAAGTTGTATTCTAAATACAATCATCTGAAGTCCTTTTCGAGAAGGCAGCATCTGAACAGAGACCCGATGGAGCAGGCTGCGCTGCGCTTTGTGGGCGAGTGCGATGGTCCTGGAAGAGGAGTGGCAGGACCAGACTTAAGGTAACAGTGCCTTCCCTGTGCAGTGTTGGGGGCAGTGTGGCGGCAGAGAAGGTGGTGAGCAGTCGTCAAAACAGCATCTGGAGGGTGAGCTGAGTGCATGTTGGGGAAAAGCCGGGTGGGGGCTAGGAGAGAGAGAAGTCAAGGTTTTGGCTGGACTAGCTTGGAAGAAGGGTGTTGCCATTGAGATGTAATAGAAACAAGTTTGAGGGAAGATTAGGATGTTTGGTTTTAGACTTCAGTTTTGGGTACCTACCAGATATCCACGTGGAGATGTCACAAAGGCAGTTGCTGGATGTATAAACATGGACTGTGGGGGGAAGCAGGCTAGAGAGGTACAGTGGATGGATGCTGTTGAAAGTCGTAAGACTGAAGAGATTGTCAAAGCAGCAACCAGCTAGAGACGCACACAGCTGAGAAGGAAGGGAGGAGGGCAGCTAGCAGCAGGTGCGTGTACTCCCAGGAAACCCAGCCAAGTTCTCTGTGGTTTAAGATGGGCTGTTTCACGTACAGTTACTGGCCACACACATCTTTTTTTCCCACCTGCTCACCTGTTACGTTAGGGGGTCAGGGGTGCCTTTCTGAGGAACTGATGTTAACTATGCTCTGGTTACCCCATTATTCCTAGAGAGAACCACTTACAGGACTAGCCGACAGCAGGAATCTACTTCTAGCCTTTTTTATGTACACAGGAGATTGCTAACATGCCCCCGAAAAAAATGTAACTTTAAATAATAGCCTAAGGCAAGAAGCTTCCCTTGCAAAGCTGTTTTGAAGAGATTTCAAAATGATGAAATTCTTTAACAAAACATTTTTTAGTGGGAAATTATTTCTCCCCTGTGCTCTGCAAGTCTTGGTCAACAGTACACTTACACAAATAATTTCTTTCCTAAACTGTAACTTTAGTTATAAGCTATACCTCAGTGTGGATTTTGATGCTCCTGTATCTTTGAGTTTCTTCATAGGTCAATTCTTGGCTGTTTCAACCACCTAGAAGATAACTCTAGACAGAGGCAAGTGACTGACAGCTGTCTCAGCACAAGTGCTTTAGTCCCACAGGGAAGATAAAAATGCCCAACAGCCAAGGGACCAAAGCAAGACAGATGAGAGACAAAGGGGAGCAAGCAGTGAAAACAGAGGCCGCCCGCCCCATACGAGGGCCAGTGTTCCACAGTCTGTGCCAGCAGGTGTTCCAAATAAAGACCCTGGTCATTTAAGAAGTTAGACATGTATTACATAGTCTTTGAAATTTGTTTCCACAAATACTAGTAAGTTTTAAGTGCTTAAATACATGAGGAAGTTCACTCATTCTTTAGATAAATCCAGTGCTGCTCCTTTCCAATCTCAAAAGTGTTGCCAAGTCAAGGACATCGTTAATCTGCTCATTATAATAACCACTTTTAAAATGATTTGCATTTAAGTGTTTGCAAAGCATAGGCTAAACATATCCCCCAATTCCATCTACTTTTATAATTTATTTAGCAAACTCATAGTTGTCAGATTATGCAATTAATGTCGAAAAAGAGTGATGTTTCATTAAGAAATACGTTTAAGAAATAAAGATGTAGGTTAAGATTTATAATAGGGATAGTTCTTGAAGGCTGAGGTTTTCTCATCTTCTCATGCCAGTAAAGAGCGTAACTCAACAATTAATTACACAAGTTAAAAATCTAGGAGTCATCCTTGATTCTTTTCTTGCACAGGCTTAATAAATACTGCTACTTCATCTAAGATGCTGGAATATTATATATGGAACATAAACATCCACATCTAAATAATCTCACACACATGGAACTCATACATACCTGGAGTAAGAAACTGCCACCTAATACAGTGGTCTCCCAGTGGAAACCAGGATCCGCTTCTCCCTTCTCCAGGTACACACACACTCAGATTCTCCTTCACCCTTCTCATGCCCATCATTCATTTACTGATTCTATTCTGTCCTCCCCAGCGAGGCTCAGGGTTGCAGCATCACAGAATCGGAATTTTGATTGGGGGGGAGGCAGACAGTGCATTAATTTTGGAACAAAACGCAACTAGGGAGAGGGCATGTCAGAGGCAGTGCTCAAAACAGCGTGACAGCACACGCCCCCGCAGAGCCACACAGGGATGTGGAAGAGGCCACACAGCAAAGCAGAAGCAACCAAACTCAACCATCTTTTCTAAATTTTGCTTAGGGCAGGCCCTGAATCCAGGAAAAGGAGAGAAACCGTTTTGCTAACCTGCTTGATTCCAGAACCCTGGCTAGTAGCACAGTTCTGGGTTTAGCTACCATAAGGAAAAGTCAGCTCTTTCTGTGTTAGTCTAGGCATAAAACCACCATTTATCCCAATGCCTGGCACACAGCAGACACGGAATCTGTTTACTGTCAGTAAAGTTCCAAGCTGCCCTGCCTTACTTCCCCCATCGCCCTCTGTACCGTCCACACGCTGGCTGAACTGACTCCTCGCCAGCCCCCGTGCTCGCTGCCTCCAGTCCCACACGCACCTTCCCACAGCCAAGGTCAGGTGCCACCTCTTCCTGAAGATCTCCCTCGTCCCTTAAGTCAGGAAGTCCCTGCCTCTGAGACCACTTCATCTGTCCCCCTTTACAGCACTTGCCCCTTTAACACCTATTTTAAAGTAATGATGTAGATGTCTTACATCTTCCGCTAGAGTGAAAGCCTCCTTTCGACTGCACACATTTTTGGTTATATAAACACAGCTGCATTAACTACAGAAGTAAAAGAACAGCATGTATTGAAAGTTTTTTCACTGTTAAGATTGTTTTACTAAAGTGATTTACCACCATGCAGGTTCTGATTCCAGTTTGGTTTCTGAACACACAAGGGTACAGTGGTGCCTGAATCCTATCACAGGTCACACGCAACCCAAGTTATTTTTATCACAACCACACTCACCTCATTTGCTAAGGCAAAAGTTCCCCAGTGAATTGCCAGAGATTTCTTTGTTTGAAGATCAATATGAATCCTTACAGCCTCTTCTGGATCTACATGCTGGTATTTCATAAACCACCTGGTAAAACACAGCAATTTATTAATTCTGGTCTTTGAAATTAGTGTTTATTTCTAATCACTACATCTAGTTAACCTTTTAAGATTCTGCACCGTAATAAATCACAGTAGACAAAACCATCTCTCTTCATTCCACTTTTCTGCTGGAAAAAAATAAGCAAAAATCTTTCTTGTACAAACTGCTATACAGTTAAGTCTCAAGCAAAACAACTCCTTGAATAGTAAGATTTTGTTTCACATGTCTTACGATTTTTTTTTACTGATTTATTCTGAAGATATAACTTACCATTACTTGAAAAAAGTATGTTATCTTGCAATCCTGGTACTAATCAAAGAAACTGAATAATGGGTAAAGAACTAGAAACCAAAACTCCAGTTGCAAAATGACCTGAAAAGCTTGCCGAAACTTACTTTTCTAAATTGTGCTAAAGAGAAAAGCAAACAAACATTACAAACATTGTACAACTGAGGAGTGAGGTGTCTGCTTGGGAAGAAGAGGGTACATCAGGGGGACAGAATGGACACAGTGGAAACCCTGAAAGGCCGCCTCATGCCTGGGAAGCACTGGGCTCAGGAGACAGGGCGCCCGGGCATGAATCCCAGTGCTGCCCATTGCTAGGAATGCCTCTGAGGCCACTTCAAATTCTCTAGCTTCCATTTCCTTGTCTGTGAGGTGGAAGCTATGCCACCACTTCACAAGGGTGCTGGGAGGATTAAACAAGGCAAAGTTTACTGAAAGCATCCAGCACAGCACCTGCTTCACAGAATTCTCCCAGAAGAGAGCGGACAGAACAACACTTCCAAAAGAATTCCGATACAAAGCAAAAAAGTATACTATCAACAAGCAAGTCCTTTGCTTTCCCAGCCATCAGTTTAGACGAGGAAGAACAACATTGTCTAAACATTGTTCCCGTCCCAAGCCTGCTACTGCAACTCAGGCTGCAGTGAGGACGAGGGAGGTGGGTCCAGCACAAGCGCTCCTGCGCTTTACAGAACACAGCACGGGGAAGGCCACCACCTACAACGGCAGGAGGGTTGTTACTTCCTGTTCGGAGCTGCCGGCCAGATGGGCGCCCAGAGACAAAGCCCCTGTGTCCCTCCCAGGGGCAGATGAGACAAGCACTTGTGCCACCCTGTCCCCTGACACTCCAGATTCAGAGCTAGATGGAAAGAGGTTTGGGTGTTTTCCACTTTTTTTTTTTTTAAACTCCTTCAAAGGAATAGACGTATTCCTTTATACCCTGATGTCTATCTGAAATAAATTTACAATGTTTATTACTCTGGTATGAAAATCAATAAAATCCTCATGGATTTGGATAGACCGCCTCATGACAGAAGGTCTCAAAGTAAGGATGAAAACATTCTAGCATCTCACTGAAAGGCACTGTGGGGTGAACTGTCTTACATTTACAGAGTACTTGGGAGTTTTGTTGATAACATTATTTCTAAAATTTTAGTCCTGACCAGAGAACTGTACTGCATAGCAGACACTACCACAATTTAGTTCTTTTAGAAGAATTTAGAACTTCTTTCAGAATGTTCTCCCCGTCCTTCTCCCACCTTAGTAACAAAACAGCTGCCGAGCAAGCAGGAAGGGGGAATCACGTGAGTGCATCTGTGTAGTTGGGCTACACACATTCTATCACATGTATATGCAAGTCTATTCTGCTACATAGGAAAATTTACTTTCACAATTATAAATATTCTAATATATTATCAGGTACCAATACCACATATCAATATCATAAAATTGATTTGTAAACAAGTTGATGTTTTGAGAGATTTCATTAGAATTCAGAATTAGAATTATGTGGAAAAGTGAAATTCAAGCACTATTATTTACCTTATATAAAAAATTATAAACAAAAATATACAGCCCCTTGAATGAAGAAAAGGAAAAACATTAATAAAGTGATGAAAGTGTTTTGGTGAACTTCTATGATCAGATCTGCTCAACTGACCTGTGTGTCACTGCTCTTCCTGGTACTGTACTGCCTACATAAAGTGCCATCCTACACGCCAGTCTGTGTGTACACGCACATTTCAGGAAATAAAACATTTTAATTAGCCGTTTGCTACTTTTAGTGTTTCTTTCATTTCACTTCAGCCAGAACTGACTGAAATCTAGCTGAATTCTTTTGAAATCACCTCTCTTCCTTACACAAACAGTATTGAGGAAAACACAGGCAGCAGATGGGTCTCTTGGGTCTCAGTGCTAGTGTGACCTTTATCTACTCTGAAGACAGGTGATGAGGATGTTAAGGCTGGAGGGTGAGGAGTGAGTAATGCAACAGTGTCTTTACCAGACTAAATAAAACCATCACAAGGAACTAATGCTATTGGCCAAGTACTTGCTTTTACTCCATTAAACACAGGACAGGGGTCGGGTAAATGGAACAAAAAGTGGTCACAGAATGAGAGGATCCTCAAGGAAGAGCAGGAGTTAGGTTTGATTACTGGCTGATCTGTTTAACTTGAGTAGGAATGGTACGTGAACTTCTGGCGAGGTAGACTAATTCTTTAAACATTGGTCCTTTCTTCTTGGTAATATGATTTCTAGTTTTAAATAATTAACAGGTATGACTGTGAATAAAATATTTTCATACGAACTATATGGAAACAACTTGGAAAACCTAGAAGAAATGGACAAGTTTCCGGAAACAGCGCACCAAGACTGAATCAAGAAGAAATAGACCACTTGAACAGACCAATCACTAGAAACGAAATAGAATAAGCAATTTAACAACCTCCCTACAAACAAAAGTCCAGGACCAGATGGCTTCACTGGGGAATTCTAGCACACAAAGAACTTATACCAGTCCTTCTCAAACTCCAAAAGACTGAAGGGGAGGGAATACTCCCTAACTCATTCTATGAAGCCACTGTTAATCACCCCGATACCAAAAGTCAGACAAACATACTAACCAGAAAGGAAGATTACTAGCCAATATCACGATGAACATAGATGCAAAACTCCTCAACAAAATATTAGCAAACAGAATTCAACAAATGAAAAAGTCCATAAACGCCACGATCAAGCTGGATTCATCTCAGGGACACAGGGATGGTTCCAGATACACTACGCAACATGATACACCACATTAACAATAAGGGACAAAAACCACATGATGATCTCAAAAGATGCAGAAAAAGCATTTGATAAAATTCAACACCCATGTATGATAAACTCTTACCAGTAAGAGTGGGTATAGAGGGCACATACCTCAACATAATAAAAGCTATTTACGACAAACCCACAGCCATCACAGTACTCAATGGTGAAAAACTCAGAGCCTTCCCACAAAAATCTGGAACCAAGGATGCCCACTCTCACTTCTATTCAACATAGTTGTGGAAGTCCCAGCCACAGCAATCAGGCAAGAACAAGAAATAAAAGGGATCCAAACTGGAAGAGAAGAGGTGAAATTGTCACTATATGTGGATGACATAATACTATATATAGAAAACCCTAAAAGCTCCACACAAAAACTATTAGAGCTGATAAAAGAATTCAGCAAGGTAGCAGGATATGAGATTAACATACAAAAATTAGCTGCATTTCTTACACTAACAATGAATTAGCAGGAAAAGAAAGAATTCCTTTTAAAATTGCATCCAAAACAATAAAATACTTAGGAATAAATCTGACAAAGGAGGTGAAAGACTTACACATGGAGAACTACAAAACATTGATTAAAGAAATTAAAGACGACAAAGATATGGAAAGATACCCCACGATCTTGGAGTGGAAGAATTAATATTGTTGAAATGGCCATACTACCCAAAGCAATCTACAGATTTAATGAAATCCCTATCAAATTACCCAGGACATTTTCCACAGAACTTGAACAAATAATCTTAAAATTTATATGGAATTACAAAAGACCCAGAATTGCCAAAGCAATACTAAAGAAAAAGAATGAAACTGGAGGAATAACCCGCCCAGACTTCAGACAATACTACAGAGCTACAGTAATCAAACTGTGGTATTAGCATAAAAACAGACATATGGATCAATGGAACAGAACAGAGCCCAGAAGTAAACCCACAGACCTACAGTCAACCTTCAACAAAGGAGGCAAGAATATACAAGGGAGAAAAGACAGTCTCTTCAGCAAGTGGTGGTGGGGAAACTGGACAGATGCATGTAAATCAATGAAGTTAGAACACTCCCTCACTCCATACACAAGAATAAACTGAAACTGGCTTAAAGACTTAAATATAAGACAAGACACGATAAATCTAGACAAGAACACGGGTAAAACATTCTGACATAAATCTCAGTAATGTTCTCCTAGGGCAGTAGAAATAAGAGGAAAAATAAACAAATGGGACTTAATTAAACTTACGAACTTTTGCACAGCAAAGGAAACCATGAGCAAAACAAAACGACAACCTACAATGGACAAGGGCTTAATTTCCAGAATATATAAACAGCTCATACAAATTAATAAGATAAAAAAGAAAATCCAAAAATGGGCAGATAACCCAAACAAGCAATTCTCCAATGAAGACATATGAATGACCAATAGGCACATGAAGAAATGCTCAGTATCACTATCAGGTAAGTGCAAATCAAAACTAATGAGGTATCATCTCATATCAGTCAGAAATGGCCATCGTTCAAAAATCCACAAATGCTAAATGCTGGAGAGAATGTGGATAAACAGGAACCCCCCTACACTGTTGGT